GAGGATGCTGAGCCCAGGCAAGGACTTTGCCCAGGGCCCCGCACACAGTAGGCGCTCAGGGGCTGGGCTGCCAGGCAGGCTCCTTCCTGCTGAAGACAGGAGTGTGGGAGAACTCACTCACCTCGCTTTCCTTATTTCTCTACAAAAACAGGAAGGAAAACTGGGGGACATCAGATTCACAACGTCTCCTGAATGGATCTCAGTCTAGGCGATTCTTTTTGTGACTGTGGGCTCCAGGGGATGAACCCAGGCTCACTTCCTTCTGAGCTACACCCCTAGCCCTTTTTTAAGACACAGTCCCTCCAAGTCCTTAGGCCCTTTCTAGATTGCTGAGGCTGGTCTTGAACTTGGGATCCTCCTGCCCCGGTCTCCTGAGTGGCCGGGTGTACAGGTGTGTGTCACATGCCCGGCTGCAGTTTTTTTTTTTTTTTTTAAATAAAGCCCTGTCCTTTTTTCTTAACTTGACTCTTGGAGGACAAACAGGGTTTTAAGTGAAGCTTCAGATTTTGAAATCAGAAGAGAACAATGCCCCACAGGAGGGAGTAAGACGCACATATCCTTCCCCGTGTCTCTCTTCCTGCCTTGTTGCCCACTGAAGTTGAGTGGGCGCGCCCCTGCTGTGGCCCCTGGGGCGCAGCACAACAGGAGGAGCTTGCAGCGGACCCTGTATAGGAGCCTCTTTGGAGCCCAAGCAGCAGCTGGTCTTCTGTTTCCATAGGAAAAGGAGTGATGGTGGGGTCTTGTGGGGGGACTGGGACTGGGAAGAGGAGACATGGCCTTGAGGATCCTCAGCCAGGAGCCACAGGGTACTTTGGTGAGTTTCCCCTCTACCTCCTCCTGGGTTCCGAGTGGAGGGGCAAGCAAGAAGGCAGGATGGCATTCCCTGACCAGGGATGACTGGTCACCCCTGCTCCATTCTCAGGGCTGCTCCAACTTCCGGCACAAGAGCATCCATCATGTCAAGACAGCACACTGGAGCTGGCCCTGCAAACCCCCCACAGCAACGTGGGCAGCTGGCTCTGCGGTTTGCCTCCTTCTGCCCTCCAGCACTCCTCCTACTGTCTTGTGTTGAACTTCATGAACAACGATTGGGAAACAGGTAAGAGAGCTTGAGTCCACAACAGCTGAGTACCGTCCAGAGCCAAGTCTTGCTCAAGAACGCTGGTAATAGTCCGCCCACCTATAATCACACTGTATTCCTCAGCCATTAACTTTCAAGCATGTTCCCGTGAGCCAGGCATTGTGCTGAACAGACAGACGCCCTGGTTCCTGCAGAGGGCAGCCATTGTCCTGGAGAGGGCAGCCCAACACCAAGTCAGCAGGGAGGAGGACTGTAAGAGTGACAGGTGCAACAGAGGAGGACTGGGGAACAAAGGGAGGGCCTGCTAGAAACGCAGACATCCTACAGGCACCAGGGGGCGCTGTCAGGCCGGCAGATAGGAGAGCAATGAAGGCCACCGGGGCAGGAGTCCTGTGGGAGAACAGGGCTTGAGATGCAGTGGGACCTGGAATCAGGCAGCTGCTGTTAGATGCATGAGGTAAAAAGGAAGCAGAAGGGACCAAGGGCATTTCTGAGGGTTCTGGCTAAACAAGGAAGCTGCAGGGCTTTTTACTGAGATTTTGGGTCAATAGGGGATGGGGAAAGGAAATATTTGAGGTGGAAACTCAGGAGGCTGTGATTATCCAGAGGTGATGGCAGGTGCACCATTGGAAATGCAAGTCTGGAGCTTAGAGCTGTCTGGACTCGACATTTTTGTCCAGATTTTGTCCCATAAATGCAAATGTTTCTGATTATTTTTCCTGATTGGCCTTGACAAAACCCCTTGGCTAATCAAGAGCAGCATTCCCCTGCCTAAGACTGTGTCAGTCTGCACTGGGAGACAACCTCCCTCCCACCCACCATCAGGCAGCAGCTGCAGTTGCTACTTGCTTAAGATCCAAAGTCCTAGGGTCCTCTGCTGTGATGCATGCAAATTTTGTAGGTCACATTGGTAAGTCAAAGAGGGTGTTGATGGGGGACAGCCACATGCCAGTGGTGGGAACATAAGGTAAGGGAATAATTCTATAAAATGGGCCCACTATGCTGACCCCCACAGGCTTTCTTTTCCAAGGAGCAATTTACCTGCAGCTCTGCCTGGCTTAAGAGGACAGGGCATGTCAACAAACTACCTCTTACCTGCAGGAGAAATTCAGGCCTGAAATAATTCCAATAAGAGGAACACAAGTTACCCAGACGGGTGGGCTTCTGTGGACCTTACACAGATCAGATCTCAGAACTCAGGGAAATAAGGATAATTCCCCCAACAATAAATCTGTAAGAACAGGTTCCAGTTGGAACCAGTTAGCATAGGCCCAAGTGACCTAGAATGGTCACGGCAGTGGGGACTTGAAAGTCTGATGTCATCCTGCTGTTACTTAAGAGTCAAGGGGTGGAACTAGATGGGACTTGCTGGAAACTTCCCTGGGACCCTACAATAAAACTGAAATGTGGGAGGGGTGTGCTGCCCCTCTCCTCTCTGAGGGGACCCACTCCCTCCCTGAGAGTACCTTTTCCCCTTTCCCGTCCCTCTAATACACTCGTGCCTGCTTCTCTGAGTGACACGTCTGAGGTCTTTCTGACTTGATCACAGGAATTGGGATTTGAAGTGGGGCTTTTCATGCTGCCTCAGTTTCCCAGAAGTTCCCTGGCCTGTCACAGTAGGACAGGGACCACCTGTCCCGCAGGCGTCAGGACTCAGTGTGGCCCTGGCCTCGGCGGCCTCCCCTGGGATGTGGTGTTGCTTCTTGCTCCCTGGGCAGGAGGTGGAAGGTCTACTTCCTGCTGCTCTTTCCTATGCCTATGACTGTCACTCTACAGATCAAGGAATCATGGCCAAATCCCACCCATAGGAGTTCAATAGTTTGAGGTCTTCTATTTAGGTCGCTAGTCCATTTTGAGTTCATGTTTGTATGTGCTGTAAGGTAGAGTCCAACCCCATTCTCTGGCATGGAGGTAGCCAGTTTCCCAGCGCCGTGTTGAAGACTGTCCCCAGGCCAACGTTTAGCATCGGCAGCCTTGTTGAAGATCACGGGCCACACGTGCAAGTCAAGCATTACTGCTGGGCCCTCTGTTGTGTTTCGTGGGTCTGTCCTCATGTCTCACCTCCCTGTCTTTGTTACTGTTGTTTCATAGCATGTTCTGAAATCAGGGAGCGTGAGTCTCCAACTTTGTTCTCTTTCAAGATCATTTTGGCTTGTAATTCCATACAAATTTTAATATGAATGTTCCTATTTCTGCCAAAAAAATGTAATTGGGATTTGATAGAGATTGGATTGAATCTGTAGATTGCTGTTAAAGAAGATCTCTATGACATCTCTTTGAC